GCCATTATCAAAGATGACAATTTTAATAAATCAAACAACAACGGACGAAACAGCAAAGACAGTCCGCCCTTGCTGCATGAAAATTTCAAGTAATGACAAACTTGTATATACGAGACGCGGAAGTGAAAATCGCATCGCAGCTCATGATGTCACACATGAACATGCGAGAGTGAAAAACGAGAAGTATTAAGTATGGGAAGCCATTGGTATAAACCAATGGCTTCTGTTAGAAATTATAGGCATTTAAGGATATTTGTGGAGATTTCATAGTTTATTTTGTTCAGGTTAGGTTTCAACTGTTTTATGTATATAGCTTCAAGAATTTTTAATTTTTGCTTATTGTTTTCATGTTTAAGTATAGTTGTGTTGTCAACAAAGATTTTCCAGAATTGAGTATGCAGGCAGGCAGGCATGTTACTGCCTAAATATATATATATATATATATATATATATATATATATATATATATATATATATATATATATAGAGGTATGTGTAGGATAAAAAATATACATACACTCACATAAATTTAATTGATATATATATGTAAAAATACTGTGTATATATATATATATATATATATATATATATATACTGTGTAAAAATAAAAATTGGCACATCTACTCAACTATGGGTATCCAATAAAAATAATGTTTAATTGATTTTATATATATATATATATATATATATATATATATATATATATTTTTATTTTTCACAGTATATTTATTTTTGTCTCTTAGCCTGTTCTAATATTATTAAAGGAGGGTTCATATTTTACTTTTAATACAAATTTTCTCGAATATTCAGGCTGTTAGATGAAAATAAATATACTGTTTCTTTATTTAGATTCAAACTAATGTCCTCATTTTTGTTGATATTATTTCAATGTTTCAGTCATGCCATCTTCAAGTGTATGTCAACCTGGGTAAACCATCAGGTAATTTTAAACTGAACTCTTTATTTAATCTCCAAGGGCAGATTGTTTTCATTCAGCATTTGAGAAGCCTTCAGGCTGGTCGACAAAAATAAATCAAAAATATTATGTTTACAAAATAAATGTAGTGTTTACTCAGGTATTAGTATTTTTGAAAAATAACTTTTAAGTGATAAAAATCTGTCAGATTAATAAATAAAAAAATTATTACTTTTTTAGATATATATTTATGTGTGTGTTGGAATTAGTAACAGCACTAAAATGCAGAAACACGGTAGAATGCATTTGCTCTCACCATAAAAATGCAGATATATGTGCAGGATATCTGGTGTAAAATAAGTCTTCTCAATATTTTCTTTTTCTGTTTTCAGTTGTATCTTTTTAAATTTATTTATTCTTAATCCTTTCAACAGGACAGTAAGTAGCAATTAATTTAGTCTTTCAGAAAACTGAGAAGCTGGTAATTTCTATTGATTAAAAGGAAAGTTAATTGGAGCCATGCTGTCCATTTGCAATTAGTAAATGAAAAGATGTTCTTGTGAATAAATTGAAAACAGAAACAACTGAAAAGTTGAAGCCAAAATTTAAATGACTTTTCAACTCAAATTCAAGAAACCAAATCCCATCTTTTAAGTCACAACACAATCCCTGAGAAGTTTACAGCACTGGTTTCTAAACTGAAGGGGACTGGTAGGTGATAAGTCATTTTAGTTATACCAGTGTATAATATTAATATGTGCATGTATAGACATATATGCATACACATGTATGTATTTTTTTTTAAATTTGATATATTTATATGGGAAGAATGCTTAATATTGGAATCAACACTTCATGGTGACTGTCAGTTTCCAGTTTGAAGCCCACATTGAAGCATGAAACTGATAGTAAACATGCAATATTGATTGCTATATCCACTCTGGCTATATATATATATGTATGTGTATATATATATATATATATATATATATATATATATATATAATTTTGTAAGAGTTTTTGGGTGCTCAATGCTGGTTCCTTTTTATAATTTACTGGTGGGAAAGCATTTTAGGCAGGAATTTTTTTGTCATAAAGTGGTCGATATCAAAAGGTAAAGATAGAACGTTAATAGAATTAATGTGGAAAAACTTATCACTTAACTGAGTGGTGTTGGTTTCATCATGCTGACTTTGAAGTTGTGAGCACATTGCAGTAATGCTTTCACTCTTCAGAGCTGTTGTCTCCCCCCCCTCTCTCTCTCTCGATATATATATATATATATATATATATATATATATATAAAAAACTGGAAAATCTGATGCATTTCATCTGTTAGGATTTCACTGGACTGAGGTTTGTTGATGTTACCACATCTACACATGCAAACAAAATGAAAGACATGGGTAGTTTCAAAATTGTTTTTTTTTTTTTTGAAAGAATATTTCTTCAATCTAGCCAAATTCATCTGTATTCTTTTGGTTAGATTGAAACAAAAAATATTCTTTCAAAAAAAAAAAAAATTTGAAACTACCTGTATCTCTCATTTCGTGTAGATGTCATAAGAAATTTTCCAGTTTGTCATATGTTTCTAAGTACTGTTTGTTGATATATAAAATTATACAAAATTGTCTATTGTTTTATATATATATATAATATATACACACACACACACACACATACATATATATATATATATATATATATATATATTAAGAATTGGACAAAGTCCAACAATTTATTAAAGACATTTTTATGTTTAACATTCTTTTTATAGATACAAGTATTTAAGTAAATGCTCTGTTTATAATAAACAGTATTAAATAACATTTACCGGCCTGAATGTCCGAGAAATTTTCATGGAAAATATTCGTCCTTTGACAGGATTCGAACCTGCATCCTATACAGAACCGTCATTTATGCTGACGTGCCTTAAACTTCAATGTTATTTAATACTGTTTATTATAAACAGAGCATTTACTTAAATACTTGTATCTATAAAAAGAATGTTAAACATAAAAAAATGTCTTTAATATATATATGTATATAATTATCTTTTACAATTTTAAAATTCTAAAAAATGAAAAATCAAAGTATCTCTCTGGGGTCAGAACACTTCAAAATGGACTTCATTGTTTGCATGGAACATGTTTAGACAACGCCCAATTTCTGTTTTCTACAAGACACTTCCTGTTTCTATAAACTTCTTCTGTCAGACATTGAATGCTAACACAACTTTGTATTTTTTAATATTTTGCACTTTAATTCTGCTAGATCTGTGTGTGCAACTTGGGCTTGATGAACCAGGATGCACATTGCACTTTCTCTTCCGGCGTTGTTATTTTCATTAGAATTCAGGGATCAATAATACGCACTTTTAACAACTACATGAAAAGGCAAACGGAAGTGAATTAAAAAAAGAAAACAAATTATATATAAATTAGAACTTTAATAATATTTCTTTAACATAGAAAGAAATGTATTGATGGATCTTAATTCTAATGGATACAAAAAACTGTGGAAGTTGTACAGATATATATATATATATATATATATATATATAGTCTAAAGAAGTAATAGACTTTTATTTATTAATCTAACAGATTTTTATCACTTTAAACGTTATTTTTTAAAAATCTGTAAGATAAAAAAATTCATCTCTTCTTTAGAAAATTACTTTGTTTAACATTTGGATATGAAGCTGATTAGATAATCTCAAGGAATCTAAAACAAGAATGATTTCGCTTAAAATCACCATTTAGACTTTACTTGATTGGCAAAGCGTCTTCTGAGTCAAGTGAGATAAGGCACATCAAAAAAATGCACACATATTTTTCAAATAAGATTTCTTGAATAATCAGGGCGTTAGACAATAATAAATAGATATACTGTTTAATAAATAAATGGAGTGTCCACTTCAAATATGAATATAAACTAAAAATAACATTTAAATTGGTAATATATATATATATATATATATATATATATATATATATGTATGTATGTATGTATGTATAATATATATAATCTCAGAATTAAATATATTTTAATTGGATATTTTGTCACTTCAGATGTGTACACAGACATACACATATGTATAAATTTTGAAAACTTTGCTATATTTATAGAAGACAAATGTATATTATTTTAGCTTAATATTATATTTTTAAAATATTTAATGTATGTAATTATATAATCTTATGTTAAGGTAAAAAATAAAATTAATCAGATTTGTTTCCATGAACCCCACCTCCTCCTTAGTGCTATTAAAACACCCATCCTCCTTAGTGCCATTAAAACATCCCTCCTCCTTAGAGTCATAAAAACACCCATTCTCCTTAGTGCCATTAAAACACCCATCCTCCTTAGTGCCATTAAAACATCCCTTCTACTTAGTGCCATTAAAACATCCCTTCTCCTTAGTGCCATTAAAACATCCCTTCTACTTAGTGCCATTAAAACACCCATCCTCTTTAGTGCCATTAAAACACCCATCCTCTTTAGTGCCATTAAATCACCCATCCTCCTTAGTGCCATTAAAACATCTCTTCTCCTTAGTACCATTAAAACACCCATCCTCCTTAGTGCCATTAAAACATCTCTTCTTCTTAGTGCCATTAAAACACCCATCCTCCTTCATGCCTTTAAACTCCCCTGCAGTGTAAAGTAACAGATCCTCCTCATACTCGATGTTGCTGCTGCAGTTTCTATTGCAAGTAGATTTTACCAATTTTGGGTTCAAAGTTATTCTTCTAGACTGGTTACCAACCCTGGCTAAGGAGTCCAATCTGCTCTGCTATTTAACCCATAGTTTAGAGGAGGAGAAATTATGAATTCATACTTTTCTGAGTGTATTTGTATGTAAGCAAATGCAGCAAACTTGGCTGGAATTTGAATTCTGTATGCTGTTTCCAATTTCTACATTGATGACCATTATGCAACATGCACATCCGTTCATGAAAACATTTACTTTCATCCTCAGTCAGGTGATGCATTATTCCATTGTATGTGTACCAGTACCATTTACTTCATGATATTTGGAAAACTATAACAAATTAAACTGCTTTGGCTATTGAAATGCAGCTTATGGCCATATCATGTTGAAATACAGCTTCTCATGAGATCACCAAAGTTAAGCAACATTGAACTTTGTTAGTACCTAGATGGGTGACCACCTTGAGAATTCCAGATGCTGCAAGC